TAAATATCAAGTACTACAACATGAATATGTCAACTAAAAATCACCACACATCTGTAATGCACTATTATGCATCAACAAGAATCATTAAAATTGATAGTTGGTTAGCTGGCTGTGTCTTTTACAAGACTGAATAACTGGCCACAGTACAGTGGGGCTTTAGTCATTTTTAATTGTGTGTGTGTGTGTGTGTGTGTGTGTGTGTGTGTGTGTGTGTGTGTGTGTGTGTGTGTGTGTGTGTGTGTGTGTGTGTTTGTTTTGCCCCCCTCACACACACACACCCTCTTTTGGATCCGCCAATGCATTACTGATTGAATCAATTGTTGAAACCAATTACTTTCAGCGATGACGTCACGTAGAGGCTTCCAACCAGTATACCGTACACACAAATAGACTTTATTTACTATAAAGGTAAGTTTGTGGAATAGCGGACCCTGACACTTCCCAGGCATGACTGTGTACAGGTTAGATTAATCTTATACCAATATTCGATCACAGATCGAATAATTTGTATCAGGCAAGGCGCATATCACTTTCTGGTTTAAACTGCACATCTATTTACAGCAGGTACTTGTTTTCGTAAACTGAAATACGTGATATCATGGTGGTATTTTTGTGGTGAAAATTGGCTTCTTCTGTTTCTGCCACTATTTGTGAACTCCTCTAATTCACAGTATATAATTCACCGTAAAACAGTGTTCATTCGATCACAGGATATTACTATACAGACATATTTAAATACAGTCCGTGATATCTCCAGTCAGGTTTATTACATAACGTTATTCATAATGTCGTATTACGATTACCATGGCAACAAACAAAACATATGTAACCGAACGCGATTTGTTACATTCATGTTTGTATCTATGATGCTGATAATCTGGATTTGTCACTTGGATCGGCGATTAGTCTCTTATATTATATTCCAGCAGATTGTGATGACAAAGCGATTCAGCTTTCAGTTGTAAAAGTAGACGTTACAAGTGGGAAGTACATGCTTTTCTGCATTGATACCAAGAACCCATTTACTGCAATTTCGAAACATATGGTAAAACGTATCATCGTTCTTACACTTTTTTATGACTCCTTCTTATCACACAACTTTCTTGATCCACTTTATTCCAACTTTCTTGACCCACTCGTGTTATTCCGGGACAAGCCGAATATCATCTTTGAGGTTACGGAAAGGGGCGTGTTATTCCGGGACAAGCCGAATATCATCTTTGAGGTTACGGAAAGGGGCGTGTTGTAACGAATACCTCTATAAAGCTTTCGTGACCCATTCGTGTTATTCCGGGAAAGCCAAATATCATCTTTGAGGTTACGGAGAGGGGCGTGTTGTAACGAATACCTCTATAAAGCTTTCGTGACCCATTCGTGTTATTCCGGGACAAGCCAAATATCATCTTACGGAAAGGGGTGAGTGGTGTCGGATATTCCAGGACAAACCGTATAGCGACACCCACTCGTGTTATTCTGGAACAAGCCGAATAAAGACTCGTGCCGCTCAGGAAGAATAGATACTCAAAATAAATTTAAAATAATCTCAAACTAAAGAATACGTGGAGGGTCCAAACATGATTTGGTGTACGGGATGTCTACTGTACACTCCATCAAGCCCGGGAAGTCGACAAATGAAGATTTACCACCTAAAATTAGTGTCGACTCTGCGGGCATCGCGGACTATTGTTGCGCTTGGCTAGTTTCACCCCCCACTGACTTAATCTCATAGGCAAACAGCGAACACAACAAGGATTAGCACTGGTTTAAACATTCATTGGAATCTGAATATGCGAAATGTTTCAAACAAATATAAAGCATACAACGAGCATGATCAACACGTGTAAAATGTATAAATCAGTCTCTCATTGAAAACTAGCAAATTTCATTTGTCGATTTCCCGGGCGGACACCCAGCCATCATTGCTAATGAATCTTATCAGCCATGTATATTTTGTGCTGCCCCATTGACATTTGGCCTCCTCCTATTGTCACTGCATTATTACCACTCACCATTGTTGTTGTTAATCCCTTTGATTCATACCTACATTTTGTTTTTACGTAATCCATGTTGATAAAAGTGAATATACCGAAACGTCGCATCATATATAATAACAAGTTGTCATCCATTAAGTATAACTTTCTTATTACTCACCAACTTCTAAAATGCCAATCAAAACAGATCATATAAAATTGCTGCCATCAACCCGGTAAACCGTTAAATGAATACGCTGAAAACAGTACGAAGGAATCCAAGAAACGTAAGAAAAATGCCCGAGTGAAGTTTATTGTAAGTAGAGTGTTTAAGATTAAAGTTGATTACAGTATCTACAATATACATTACCTAAAAATGTCGGTAAGCGCACGTAAAATCAACATGCCAGCAAGATCGTCAGAGAAAACACTCATTTGGATACATTAGAGCCGTTATGTAAACAAAAGCACATGTGTATTTGAATCTCTCACCGTTCAGAGCCCCCTATCATTATGAAAAACTTGAAATTTGGCAACATAATTCTGTCAGCTCTGTATCATGTAAAATTTGCACGTTTGTTTTAAACAATCACAAAATGCCATAACCGATTTAAGTACTTGGGATTAGTTTGATCAAAGTACATACAACCTTACATGTACGTCTTGTAATTGGTTTGTCGTATTTTCGCACATCAAATGAAGTTAGAGGGAGACGAGTCTTCTTGGTAGTTACGGAAAGGGGCGGGTGGTGACTAACACGACGCGCCCCTCTCGAAGGATTTCATATTGGCGTATGAACATTGGAACTAATTCAAGAACGACAACTCTATTTCTGTTTAATAAACAGTAATAACATTGATAAGGCACTCCAAAAGTGCTGTTTTTGCACGATGATGGTTTGTTGAAAACATATTTAGAATGTAATTATTACTGGTACGTTATGTTTTCAAATGCATATCTCTAAATACGGATAAGAATCGAAAACTGAAGTTCCTTTCCTGAATATGCAATTAAAACAACATTATATTTCAGCTGTAATAAGTCCAAAATAGGTACTCAAAATAATAAAATACTTCACAAACTGACGAATTCGTGGATAGTCCTATGATTATTTAATAAACTCAGTGTCTACCAGTTGTCGGATCTTGCATGTAACCATGATGTCCTACCCCTGGTGGAATTTTATATGAAAGAAATATAGAAAAATAAGGATCCAAGAAACGGCACACTAAGAAATTCCGTGTGAAGTGAAATGTAAGAACAGTGTTTAAAGATTAAAGTTGATTAGTTATATATAAATGTATTTCTTATAAATATTTTGTTTTGAAACTCGTAGCAATTTATAATTACACTGCCTATAAACGTAAAGCGCACGTGAAACCCCCGAAGGATCATCAGAGAAATTATTCATTTGGAAACATGAGAGCCGTTAAGTGAACAATCGCACGTGTGTGGGGAACGAGTCATCTAAGTTGGTTGGTTGGTTGTTGTTTAACGCCGCACTCAGCAATATTACAGTTATATGGCGGTGATCTGTCAATAATCGAGTCTGAACGAGACTATCCAGTTATCAACAACATGAGCATCGATCTACGCAAGTTGGATACGATGACATGTGTCAACCAAATCAGCGAGCCTGACCACCCGATTCCGAGGACCAATTCTAACCCGGATCTTCACGGATCGAGTCATTTTGGAGGTTAGAGAAAGGGGCGAGGGGTGACCAATGACACTTCAAAGTGTGTGGGAGGAACCATGATATTTTTTTACGCTTCATGGTGTTGGGCCAGGATAATCTGTCAACCCATACCACTTAAAAAGTAGGGCGTATTCCATTTTAGGGACAAAAAATTAGAAGATGCTTATTCCATTCACTGTGTATTATGAATATCGGGCAAACGTACCAATTTTGTTTTTCGAAAATTAAAAATTTAAAAACTCGAAATTAACATTCGAAACTTAGAGCGAAACGCATAGTGTGTTGTAGTACATTGCGATAAAAAATATTGAAAGCGTTCCAGCTACAAGATGGCGGTCTGTAAATTATTCAAGAGGAGAGCTGACAATCCAGTGATTGACATCTAGGCATTTAGGGTACAATGAAAAACATCAAATAAGTCTGCTAGCCAAACCAACTACGACAAGCATGAGTAGTTGGCGACAAAAACGTTAACTCGGATCTTCACGGGTATATAAGACATAGCTAATATCACAAGGGTTAAATGCAGTATGATGCGACCCACACGTCAGAGTATATACCACCAGTAGTGTATACCATACAACCCCAATACAGATGCCCGACTGATGCTGTTGTAACTGCATTATCTTGCCAGCATGTTTCGACCTGTCACTCTCAGAAATCAAAACAAATGTAATTTCGGAAAATTGATAGGAAACAGCTGTTCGACTGAGCTGAGGTGAACGTGTGCTGTGTTACGTGATTAATAAGCAATGTGCAGCTTCTGCTTCAGTGTGAAAGGGATTTATTCTCCCACGTAGAAATCCATGTGAAGCCTGTAACGTGTACTCTCCCACCCTGTAAATGTTCCAACAGTGGTATTTTTTCAATGTCACATGAATCAGTCAAATATCAATACACTGACTTTGAGGTAAGATAAAATCATTAGAGGTTAATTACTGATATTCATACTACAACCCATATCAACCGAGGACCTTTTTATCACATGCCGCAACATCAAATCTTAAAGTGAATCTATTTGCAAGTATTTTTTGTTATTATATTGTTCGTAAGATCTTGCCTCAGGAAACCTAGCCGAGCGGACGACGCAGTAATTAAGGGACCTACTGGACTCCAATTCCCAAACACGCGGGCTGACGATACTGACATTCAGTATTCACTGATAAGCTATAGCCCGGCAGGGGGCTGATCTGGTTGAATCACCCCTTGTGACATACCCCTCCGCGTGTGGGCTCTATCGTAGCTATATCGTAGCTATATATCCCAATTCTTTACGATCGACGTACTCTGGAATTGGTATACAGCGCTCACGTACAGCTACAAAATCATGATCGAGTACATATTTTATTAACAAAATATTTGTGTTAAAGATCCGAAAATTCCTTTATCAAACTATGTGTTAAACAGCCACAGAAGTTCTGTCATATTCACTTTTAAAAACAACCTGTCTGTTTTCATTCAGGCGGTTGTATCTGAGGTCTGACGTCGTCGCGCCAAGACGTCCATAGTTTGGAGCCACTGGGGAGTCATTGTCGGTCTTCAGACGGAGATGATCATAACCGGATGCAACGTAGGGATTTGGCCCATGCGCCGACTGTGTGAGCCGTTCTAAGCTATCGGCACTGGAGTAGTAATGGTCCGTCACTGGCCTGGGCTCGTTGTCCCTGATTTCATAGTAATCATTGGACTCTGTAGCTCTTTCCACAGAAAACACACCAGGGGGTTCAATTTCAAAATATTCGTGCGGCTCTTTCGTATTATCAACAGTCTTCTTCTGGCGATGTTTCCTGTAAAGAGTAAATTAGTTTATGAAGACATAAACTCAAATAACTTCATATTAGAATTTTGCTGTGTTTCAATCAATAGATGTGACGTAGCTATCTGTCAAAACTTGATTTTAGTTAGAAGTAGTCAGCAAATGTTAATGCCACCTATACTGCTAAACAAATGATACACTGACAAAAACAGTTTCACACTTATCAAAGCGTTCCAGGGCTGAAAACAGTCACTGAAACTCTGCAATCTTGGATCCAAACTTACGTTTCTATTACATCGAATAACGGTTTCATATTTGTTCTAATTTTGGCCACCATCAACATTGGTGTATGACATCCTATTTTTCCAGCAGTATAGGATTTGACTGGCGTGCCCAAGCATACTATTGATTATAAATAATAGTATGACAGAACATGCACTTATATTCTAATAGCAAGAATGCTCCCCACCCACCCACCCCCACCCCCAAAACAAACAAAACGAAAACAAAACAAACAACAACCAACTAAAACAAAAAAAAAACAAAAAGCAAATGTAACCCCCAAAACCCACAAAAGAAAAAATCATAAACCCCCAAAACAACCAAAAAATACCCCCAAAACCCCAAAACAAACAAAAAAAAAACAACAAACCAACACACCAAAAAACAAATCAACAAAACAACCCCACCAAACCCCGCAAAAAACAAACAAACAAAACAAACAAACACAACAAAAACGCCCAAACTGATTTCAGTCCATTTCAGACGATCTAAGTGTTGCTTGCCATTAGTATTTATAGTAACACTAGTTCATTGAAACCACTACGAGAAGAGATGAAGATGTAAAACTGAAAAGTGGTATTACAGCAACAGTAAGTATGGTAAGAAGACGCTCCATCCACCCACCTAATGCAGCAGATTGAGACGATGCAGACTACAGCGACGAGCACTATGCCCCCGGCACTGCCACCAATGATCATCCAAATGTTTTTCTCTAGAAGCTGAAAGAACGACAGGACACCTTAATGTGCTCAGATGATAGTCAATACAAGAAATACAAACACATCCACAACACAATGCTAAGGGAAATTAGTTGTATCTATATAGCGCACATTTCCAGGCAACTAGTGCTTGCTCATGGCGCTGGTATTTTTTCCCTCGATCATTGGATGTTAATCTCAACGGCACATTGTGTTATCAATCTCAACTCCCTGGGGAGTATACAACTATTGCAGCCACTAGGCGCACCGAGTTATTGTGGCTTTCTCATCCTGACGAGGTACCCATTTACAGCTGGGTGGACTGGGACACATAGTCACAATACTTTGTCCAAGTTGCTGTACCCGCTACTGGGTGTTTGCACGTATTCATGTGGCCACCATCTGGTCATCTTAAGTGCACAGGGTTGTGTATTGTACACTAGGGGTTGCTACAACACTGAAAGAGTCTGCACACAAAGTTGACTCCCAGGTATTTACACTCGGTCACAGGTGGGCTCGATCTTGACACCTCAACCTCGCGGGATCACTAGCCTGGCGCATTAGCCAGCTCGCCCACCGCGCCCCAGTATCTAATGTCCTATTTTGTATATTGCACAAATATATAACAACTATCCAAAAACACGAGACAATCTGCAAATCAGATGCCCGTTCCGAACTTCAGGTCAGAATATGTTCAGATTAACCAAGTATGTACAAGAAAATGTATATCATACCTTATCATACAAGGAAACTAAATGGACTGCGCCATGAAACTCGGTGACTGGATTGATCAGGTGGTATGTAAATTGGCTGGTATGTGTCCTCATAACAACATCCCATGGTCAGGTTGGTCCAGATTCCAGATTATTTTAAAGACGCAGTGATATAGCGGTACCAACATTGCCAATACCATTACACTCTAGGAAAGCCTTGGGAGTATGTAGAATATTATATGTGGCACTACTTTCAGAATTATATGGAAGTAATAAAGTATCAGCTTACATTTTGCAATGGATGCACCAGTCGAGTTGATCTGGACTTCTGGCTGTTGATTGGTCAATGTCTGACACGTGACCTTGATAGGTGTCTTAGCTGTAAACATGAAAATAAAATCAAGATGTCTTCCAGATGATACTGATAATATGTAAAGATATAGATCATAAAGATTTGCAGTCACTCATTCCTAAAACCTATGTTTTGTTATTGTAAGTGTATACATTAAATGTGTCCTTCAAATCTGAAGATATTTCACGTGTCTAGGGAAATATGTGCGTGGGTGAAAATGTCACGTTTTTCACTTCACGAGTTGGCAGATACATCATGTTACACTTGACACATGAAATATTCTGTTCATACCATACTTCCATTTCTTAAACGTAAACAATATAAACCCAAGAAACTTCGATTTACGAAGTCCAAATTCTCCCGACTGTAAAACGAAAGACCTTTCACTTCTTCGGTCAAGCAAATGAAACATTTTTGGCATTCAACAATGGTGCTCTCAAGTTATTTTGACAAGTTTAAATACAGTATAGAACAAGTTTTTATGGATAACAACTTCTTTATCCATAAAAACTTGTTCTATATTGTACGTCTCAACTTCTAAAAATGCCACTCAAACAAGTTTAAATACCTTGAATACGCATCCACACCCTTTGTGGAGGACTGCTCTGGGCAATTCTGAGTTCTGATGTGATAGGGAGAGTTCCATTGACCGATATCAGAATCTGCGAGGGATGGATGACGTAGGAGTTGCAGTCGTAGACGCTGTTTCCGTCGTGAGCGTTTAGCATCAATGACGAACAGCCTGTGGATGAGTCATTACCAAGATGGACGTCCAGAGCTTCTATGAAGAGAGGCGTTTGACCTTGACCTGTACCGGAAGTCCTACACGAACATGTTGTGTCTGAGGCAAAGGGCTTTCGCACTTGGTCGTACATTATGGAAACAGAGGTTCCGGTGATAGAGCCACTGCAGAAGTTCACGATGTGTGCTTCTGAAACACAGTCATTTCTACGATATATATGAAACAGAATCAACATTGATTTAAATATGACGTTGATAGAGGTTTCCTAATGGGACGGGCTTTTGATAGTGAAGGTCCTCTTATGGTAGGAGAAACAATGTTTTGAACTGTGGACACTCGTCGCGATCTGCCTGTTGCATCCCTTTAAGTGTCAGACATGTATGAACGGTGGCTCGAAGTCCAGATTTCTCCCAATTATGTTTCTAGATTTGTCAGCGCCCAATTCGTGGGTTTCACCAAACTACCCCGTCAGGTAGATCTGAAAAGTTGTTCACCGCATTACCAACACTCACTCACTAATCTCGCACCCTGCGGCTTTACAGGGATGATATCCGATATATCCCCAGTGGGATCATTGAGGGTACCTGCGTGTATGTTTTCACTTGCTGCACAATGACAGGTTTAAACTCAAATTCTTGTCCACCGGAAGCGGCGCAGACGAAAACCAAAGACTTTTTGATACGGCGTTATGTCAGAGGATTATTTCCATTTGAAAACAGGGTAATTGTTGCTTATGAAAAAGTGAATGTATCTTTGGCCATGAAGTTACTGTATTAAAACTTGACTTGACGTCATCACGGTGTATGAATATCGTTACATGTTAGAATTGACGGGAAAACGTAAATGCTAATGTATTTATGCATTTGCTGAAAATATATTACAGACAAATACTTCAAAATGACAATATAATAGATACGGAAAACTTGGCATATTTGAGATATATACGTAAATTAAAAAAATCATGTAAACAATTATTATTTTACACACACACGCACACGCACACACACACGCGCGCGCGCACACACGCACATACATACATACAGACCAGAGGACATCTTAACAAGACTGGTTACGTTGGAAAGGATATGAGCATAAGTCAGATAAGCTACACTTTGGTGAACCATTATCGTCATATTCGTTCTGAATATGGTCCTTTGCACTCACGTCTATTTTTTAAACACATACTTTAAATGTAGAGATACCTGAGGTAAGAATGGTTTATTGTACCTTTGCATTTCATTTGAGCAATTTTAAATGGTGATAGCGCTATGACGTCATCAGTGATTTGTTTCACTGGCAGTTTAGAATATGATGAGTGATAAGGAAGGCAAGATACTTTGTGGATGACAACTTCTTTATTCTATTTTGATGCTACGTTTCAGTATAGATTCTTCTACAGTAACTGCTGATAAGCTTGGTAAAAAACGGTATAAGAATCTATACCAAAACGTCGCATCATAATATAAAAAAAAATAATTCCTCTATAAACTATCCTACCTTTCTTACAGTACTTCAATGAACACAATACGATGTGTTCAGATTGTTTGTATTTCACCATAGGCTGACGTCGGTGAAGTCTCTCTGTTGGGTTGACATTTCATCCGCTTTTCCTTCCTGTACATGTACCTGCTGGAATTGTGGATGATCTGTCGCTCGTCAGTGGATGATGTACGACAAACAACATTCATTTACCACGAACATATAATCCGAAAATCCTCATAGCCATTCGGTTATTCTCCAAATGTCACCTAACAATGCGGAGATTTGGGGATTGGCGACTGGGATTTTAGTTCGAGATCAACTAGTCTTTACGTATGCTTGGTGGATATTCGAGAATGGTGACTCGAGATATCGATGGATCAGAGTGCACTGCCGTACACGAAAGGTAGGTTCTATATGTCAGGGAAGGTAAGACTACGATATAAGAAGGGCATACACACAAAACATGTTACGACTGGACCATACCTTTGATGCACTCATAGAAGATCACCGAGTAGCTGGAAAACTGTACAAGGTGATTGTTGGCAACACATTTGTGGGTACTCCAGGGAGTCTTGAAGATGCATGGCTGGTGTCTGAGACACAGCTTGAGTCGCTCCAGATCCGCATGGGTGTAGGGAAGGGAACAGTCATCCTGATGGGGGATGCAACACGTTTGTTGATGGGAGTCGCAATTTCCCACCCCCGTGCCACACCTGGGGCTGTCCTTGTACAGGTAGTCCGCCCCATTCACAGCCACGTGGTCAGTATCTGCACACCGGAAGTGGTGGAAGGAACAGTTGAGGCCGTCGTTGCCGTAACACGCTGTGGAGATCCTCCATGCTTGAGAGGACACTGCAACAGCAAGCTACGGTTATAAGAGGTTAATCTCCATTGACGTTTCGCTACACATCCTGTACATGTACCTGCTGTCTGCTATGTCTTTCAATTGTTGCTTGACTGTTATATGCAGTGACGTTAGCAAACTGTTCTCTTACAGTGAAGAAGCGGATAATTGTATGACTAAATAGCTATGGAGGTGGATGATTGTAATGGGTAAGTGAATGAGAGAGTAAATGAGTATAGTTTTAATCCACGAGTGAAAATATTCCAGCAATATCACCACAGGGACACCCTGTGTACCCATGTGAGGAATCGAACCCGGGTCTTTGGCGTGACGAGCAAACGCTTTCACCACCAGGCTACCCCGACGCTCAAGAACATGGGGAAGCAAATCAATGTGGTATGGTTATTTAATGACGAAGCGAATTGTAATGAGTAAATCCGAAAGAGAATGGTTATAATGGGGAAGTATTTCGAAAATGAATGTTTGTACTAAATATGTAACAAAGGAAGTGAATGATTGTAGTAAAAGATACCACTGTAACAAAGCAACAGGGACCCTGACAGGGGTAAGTACATGCAACCCAGTAATGTAGAGGATTGAAATCAGTCAGTAACGGAGAAAGTGGATTATAGAATCGAGGTACTGAGGATGCGAATGGTTGTCATACGTATGTGAAGAATGTAAAGATGCTAATGAGTTAGAAACCGTTGTAATGAGAAAGTAACTGAGGAAATGCTGTATTGTAATGAGTAACTGATCGGAGTGAGTGAGTGAGTGAGTTCTAACCCGGACCTTCACGGGTCGTAACGGATCAGAAAGCGTAAGGTTACAACACATATTTTTGCCATCACTGATGTTCTTTCATCCATTTTTATGATTGAAAAATATCTAATTCACAGAAAATGTCAACTGAATTTGTTAACATATAACAATTTATGTTAATATCGCTACAAATTACAAATGATAACTACAGATA